TGCCAGTAATGTTCAAATAAGCTCGAGAGTATTCCTCATTTGATTTCGCTAATTAATGAAGTTGCAGAAATGTGACCAAGAAAATAAAATAAATCAATCAATCTTTTCTTTATTGAGCACACTGATTTTGTTTTCTTCCATAATATATGTGACACCCAAAAGCAAAGCAAGGTTCAGAGACCTTATAAAGGTTATATATTCTTAATCAGGGCGAAATTGCGAGTTGATTTGATTGATCTGTCCGTACGTGTGTCTGCATTTTGGTACTTTCCTCGTGGCAAAAATTAAAATATCGACTTTAGATTTGATAGAAATATTGCAAGTTTTCGCACGCTGTTTGGTACGGAAAGTGGGCCAAATTGATCAGAATAGGAGAGCCTGCAGTATAGAGCCAGCGTATAACTCCGTTTATCTTAACAAAAATTTGTGGGTTTTTGCTCGTTACTCAGAAATTATAAATTTAGAAGGCTGGAATTTCCCGCATTTGCTTTTTGAGACACTTTACTCCCTAGGCCCGAAAATGGAACCAAGCGGCCGTGTCCACACAAAGTTATGAATAATTAAATTTAATTTTTGAAGTTCAATGCTTATTTATCACAAGGCAACCAAGGCAGAAACTATTTTGTAAACTTTTCAAATGAAGATATAATATTTGCGCAAAAATTTGTTAATTTTAAAATGATTACCGTAGACACCGCGATTACTTCTTTCTTAATAATACCAGCGATATGGGTATCAAATAAATGAACTTGGAGAGTAGAGTGTTGGGTACGCGAGATTTGGCTCACGCCGAATATAACTTTCTGACTTGTTTATTTTTTACTTTTAACCATATTTGTATATTTTCAGATATCAAACCCTACAACAAGGATTTTTTCATTGAAGGGCATTATTTTATTTCGATAACTTGTTTTCTGACATTTAATTTATTTGCAATGCTCGGTAGTTTGACTACGACATTTGTGCGTTGGCCTAAGCCAAAATATCTATGGATACTTGTTCTAATGCGCATTATATTTGTCCCATTATTTTTAGTCTGCAATTATTTACCAAAAGGTGTAAAAAGGACGCTACCCGTTTTAATAACAAACGAATGGATTTATTGGATTATTGCTGTTATTATGTCGTATAGTTCCGGTTATTTACAGTAAGTCAGATGACTTTGAAGAGATAAGATTTTAGAGTACCGACAACTACTAATGACCGAAAAAGAAATGAAGAAGAAGAGGAATTTTGCTTCAAAGCATCTAATAAGCGTTCGTTCCTTCTGTAGCAGCGTTTCTTAAACCCTTTTCTTCCTATCACCCTTTCTGATAACCACCTTACCAGAGTGATCATAGAAAATCAAAAAAAAGGAAACACATTCGAACTTTCGCAGAAACATTTTTGAGTATAAAACAGTTAACATCCGCTTGGGTGGCCGATTTTAACTAACAAATCAATGGTCGTGGCTTCTAATCTCACACATTTGCGGTTGAGTTTGTAATAAGACCGATAGATATTAAAGCGTTACGAATGGAGTTTTTCAACTGATTTCTTCGGCTAAATTAATAATAACAAATAAGAACATTTTAGTCGGGCAAAACCGGCCCTTAAATACCATACACCACATTGTCTAACGCAATTCTTATTTTTACTTTAAAACACAAATTATATCTTGTTTCTATATAAGGGCAATTTTTTCGAATGCGTATTTATGGGGAAGCGGGCCGAAAACGCAACCTAACGTAGACAAGTTTAATCCTTACATAGGTCAGGACTCAAAAATAGGCTTAGATGGTCCAAATGTTGTAGAGTTCATTTTTGTATGAAATTACTATAACAATGTGTGGAAAATTATATCTTTTTGTCGTATGAACTCCAGTTTTTGTTAAATGAGGGGGTTGAAAAACTGCCTCAGCCGATCCAAAGTTTCCATGCCAATTTAGAATACAAAAATACTATTACTTAGCCACTTTTGCTGAGAAATTTTGAAAATTACAATTTTTTTCCATATAACAACTTTTCAGAATTGGGTGTTTTATGAAAAATGGACCTGTCGAAGCCATTTTTAATAGCATTCGCCGTAGGGCAAGAAGACATCGGCGTAACAAATTCCATCAAAATATCTCTAAAATTTCCGATCTGTAGCTTGAACACCAATCTACATAGGCAAACATCAGACGGACATACAGGCTTAGATCAATTTAGAAAATGATTCTGAATCGATCGGTATAATAAAAGGTGGGTCCATCTTGAACCCTTCTGATACATATGACCGCACCCAGTTACTATATCACAAGTGGTGTAGGCTATAATAAAACAGCTATCAAAATGTAACGGATAGTTGACAATTTGAAATTTTTGTATGCATAGTAGGACTTAAGAAAAAACGAAATCTCATTTGAGGTCAAATATAGGCTTACAGTAATCATCACAGTCGTGATCCAACAAAATGCTAGTTTTCTTTATTTTTACAAATTACTTAAATATTTGCTAATAAATACAATATTTTTTACTTATCAATTGCATTGTACTTCAGTTTACAAAATTTTATATTCTAAAATCTTATTTGTTAGACCATGAAAAGATTATGTTTGAATAGCTTGTTTTTAGAACTTCTTGCCGTACTTGCAGTATAAAGGTATTTAAGCACCAAAAAGACTCTCGCCTAAGCGAGAATATTTCCAAATTTTTTTTATATATATATATTATTAGTATAAAAAATTAAATATTTCTGATATATGTAAATTATTTCGGTTTATATTTCAGTTCGCTCGGCATGATGTACGCTCCAAAAACGGTATCTCCGAAATACCAAACAACAGCGAGAATGTTTGCAGCCGCTATGTTAATAACTGGAATATTTTCGGGGATTCTTTTTTCCTTTCTATTTCCATACTTTGTAATTTTTTAAATTAAAATCATTTCTCAAAAATGTTCGAATCGAGAAAATAATAAATTTTTATGTTTTAATACAATTATTAATCAGGACTATTCCGCAGAGGTGGAAATAACAACAACAACAACAACAAAATCATAATTGTTAAATTTTATTTAGGATCACCTACTATTTTTCGTTGTTTAGCCTAATAATAATCCATGTTAAAAAGAAGAAATAGAACGAAAGACTAAATTCATGTAACATCAATACCTCTCAAATTAAAATAATGACCATAACCAGAAGCGAATGCACCAAAATAAGCCTATTTCTAATCTATTTTGTATTTATTAAATATTTTATATAAACATTTTTCTATTTATTTGTTCTACAAAAAGTGCGTAACTTTTAAGCATTAAGTGTATCTTTGTTATAAATTTTTATTCACAAAAAAACACTATAATAAATATATTTTTTCAAAATCACGTTTTTGTCTTGATGAGCATCATAATCATACCTAACGTTATTTGTGAATGACTTCAATTGGAAAACAATTTCAGTGAAGTGAAGAGAGGAGAAGACACTATGGTTTTCCTTTGAACTTATTGGAGATGTAAAAATGTTTTTTTGACTGAAGAGTTGAAATAATTTACTAAGAGGAGAATTGAGAACTGAATTAGAACTGAGAGAGTATCAGCCCCATTTAAAGTTTTTTTCTTTTAATATTACCAGTAACTCCGTGGATGTCCCGAGTGACCCCTTATTAGTGTAACACGGTGACGGCTAGGAAGAAGAAAGGAAAGAAAACATAATAGGAAAGGGGTGGCCGCAGCCTAGTGGGTATATCACCAATTGGTAAGAGTATGTGAAGGCATGCATGGCCGATTAGAGGTGATCGCCTCTATACTCCTAACACAATCAGAAAATAGGGAGAAAAGAACTATTTTCAAAAAAAAAAGAATATTCTCTTTCCATATATATTCAAACAAATGGTTTGGTTGAAATGTAATATATATTCTTTTTTATATAAATGTATCAAAAATATGCATTCATCCCCCCTTGTACGTCTCCTGAATAGTTTTATACAATTTTTATAGGCGTGGCATTCGATTTTATCCTATTTTCAAAAAAAAAAGAATATTCTTTTTCCATATATATTCAAACAAATGGTTTGGTTGAAATGTAATATATATTCTTT